CATACTAGCTCCCAACAAATAAGAAATGAAATGGAGTCTGGGTGGAGGTGGAAGAGAAAGTTCATTAAGCCCACCTCAGATGGGCATATTTGCAGAGCCAATATACTCATCATGACATGGGTGAAGTTCATGTTAAATGGGCAGCTGTTCCTGGGTGAAAAACGAGAGTTTGCCTAACCTGTTCCCGGAGATTTCTGTCACTATGAAAAAAGCAAATACACCCTGGACTTTGATTCAGGCTTCCCTGGTTTAATAGGTTTGGGCATAAGGGTGAGAAGAAGGTGACATTAGTGGCCTGGAGAAGACTAGGCACTTTGGGCTTGCTGATCTCTGGGAGATGCCAAGGTCTTATGCACCAGGATGATTTCCATTTGCTACATGATTATTATTTAAATATTTTAATTTCCAACATTGCTACTATAATTCTGTTCCTATTCCCCAATATCAAGAAACAATTTAGACTGATTCACTTATATGGTATTATAGATAGATATCTACAGTTTCTCCCTTCTGCCTTTATGTGATTTTCAGGTACCATGTTTTTCAACTGGATTTCACAGTTAACAACAAGACAAGCTGTGCCAAATGCTCCTCCCTCCATGGGGTTGTTTGAGTGATAGCGATTATAGAAGCAACAAGTCTCCCCATTCATGTGCCTCTTTATCATTGAAGCTGACCATATACAACATAAAAGGGACTTTGAATAATGAACTTCACTTCTGCCCATTGGCAAGTAAGTTAAGACCAGAAGGTTTTTTGTTCAGTTCCTCCAGATAGCTGAAGCTTGGAAATGATTATCAATATGAAGTTGGGATCTGGATTTTAAATCACATCTTAACATTGACCAAACTTCTAACAAATGAATATTCAGTCCTAAGGCATTTTCATGGGCACTTTGACTAGATTTCAGTTTCAAATTCCAGACCGATGAAAGCTTCTGAGACAGAGAAATCTTATTTGCCAACAGCCTAAATTGTACCAAACTTCAGAATTTTTTTGCAACTTCTTCAAGGTAAGAACTCAAAAGAACAAAAACACAAACAACCAAACAACCCTACACATGAACACATGACAACACATACACATGCAATGAAAGAGGAAGAATCCTAAGTCAAAATATAGTAGGATTCCTTAAGATGTTTGTGTTTTTGTCTTTTTCTTTTTAATAATGAGGTATTCCTTAAAAAGGAACAATTTTTGCAAGTCACTTCCAAGGCATCTAAACATGAGCCTTCTAAACTATACCAGTAGAAATTAACATGACTATTCACAAAACAAACCTCAGTAGGTGTTTAACAATAACCCTTGAGTACTAAAGGCTGTATCACTGACTTTGAAAGTGAAGAGAACACCTTACAAAAATTTGGCCTGAAGCAATCACTTTTCCCATTAATAACTAAAATCCCAATATAGTTTGGTATCACATCTTTTATTACAAAGTCATCTTTGGAAAACCACATTTTAACAACAACAACAACAACAAAAAAAAAACCAGATCAACAGTAACACTAAAAAATGAATGCCACTCAGTAGAAATAAACATTTCTGATAGACTGGATCCAGGCAGTGTAGGGACATGTTCATCATGATATGCCAGCAGTTTATGGATGCCTATTATGGGGCCAATATGAACATACCCACGTATAAGTAGACCATTTCTTCTACAACTACTAGAGAACTTATGATATTGAGAAATATCAAGATGCCAGGAGATTCATTCTCTCTTGGGGCAGGACATCCTTTCATTTGGGTAGCTCATGAACTGCTGTATCCTCCTCTTCTTAGTAGTTCCATTTCATCATTTTCAATATCAACCAACATATCCAAGTTCCTTAGCCCAATGTTATTAAGGCTCCACAAAAAATTCCATCTTCCCTTACCAACCATGTAGGATATTTTTAAAAAACTGATCCTTTTGAACAGGCTTATTCAAACAAAGGATCAGACAATATGGCAATCAGCATATATGATACTCTCAGGATTCAGTTTAAGAAATATATACAGGTCCACTGAAGAAACCAGGAACAAATACAATACTTACATGAATAGTAGTTTGAACTTGGGAACAGTATTCATGAAAATAGGTAACAGAGGGCAATGTTCAAATGCCTAAAGTGCTATAACAGAGGAGATAAATTTCTGAACCACATTCTCTGGCATGAAGTAGGAGATAGAATGTCAATTCTTTTCAATAATTCCAGAAACAGACATAGACATCTAAGATCCTTTTTATAGGTTGAAAATGAGAAAAATTACATATGTGGCCAAAGACACAGAAGTGATGAAGGTAAAAAACAAATGTTTAGTTTGGGAAGTCTTCTTAGCTACCAGGTCTTTATCATTTTTAATTATTGTATACCTATTTTCACAAGGAGGTCAAACTGACACTTTGTTAAGATTGCAAAACCCAGGCTGGGGTTGTGGTTCAGTGGTAGAACACTTGCCTAACATGTGTGAGGCATTGGGTTCGATCCTCAGCACCACATAAAAATTAATTAAATAAAGGTCCATCAACAACTAAAAAAAAGATTGCAAAACCCTTTGCTTCACAGAATCATTAGTGTTTCAATTTGTCTCATTAGTGAGAATTAATCAGAGAGCAGGTCAGCATATCAAGCATATACACATATGTATATGCATATATTTTTAATATGCTGATATTTCTATTTCCTCCAGCAGAGGTCAGACAATAGCAATTCTGGAATATGAAAATCTAGGAACCAAAGATAATATTTTAGAGTGATTTTTCTCAAGATAAGCTTATGGAAGGGTTTTTTAATTATTTTCTTTACACATATTTTCTAATTATATTTTTCAATAGGCATGTTTTACTTTTTTAATAATGAAAAAGCAATTTCATTTTTTTGCAATTTTATTAAGAGCACTGTTGGCATATGTATCTACCTTGTATTAAGTCAGGGATATTGCTTACCTGTATTTTCTCAGCTGCATAGAGATTATTGGATATAGTTTAAGATTGCAGCACATTTGGCCATCTCTATGAAAAATCATTTAAGTGTAACACTGTTTCTACAAGTAATAACTGTGAGCAGTCTCTAAAACAAAGAACTTAATGGGAGCTGTAAGATTCCCAGGAGAAAACAAAGCATCCTGGACATAGTTGTGCTCTCCCAAGAAGTCTCTGGGCATGCAAAAACAGAAAAGTGAATATAATCTCTGATTACATCCTTTGCCTGGGGAATCTATGACATCCTAGTGTCTGAGAAGTCAATTTCAGCAAGTCATATGTGTAAAATAAGGAAGACATTTTAAAAATCAGTCAATATGATCTACATTTTTTTAAAAAAAGAAAGAAACCCCACGATGGATATTTACTAAAAACTGCTGATTGTTGTTCAAGAAATGACACTATCACCAATGCTATATTCTCATTTCTAATTTGTGTCTTTTTTTTCCTACTAGAAGCAAGAAAAGGCTTATAAAACAAAATTTGAATGTTAACCAAAATATCTATTTATAACTACATTATGCCAAATTAAGTTAAAAGCTTAGTTCCTGTTTTGCTAAGTGATTCATAATGTATGGTCTGTTATTTGTCCTTCTTGATACCATCACTCATAAATATAAGTGCAAAAATTGTTATGTAAATTGAAACTGTTGCTATTTTCTTATTTTTTGTTGTTTTGGTGTTTGCAGTGTTGGGGATAGAACCCAGGGCCATGCATATGCTAAACCTATGCCCCACCACTGAGCTATAGCCCCAGTACCTCAGTGTCTTCTAAGGGGATGATTTGTACCTGTGCAAAATATGTCTTTACGTTGCTGACATATACCTCTGGAACAAGTGAAGAAAAGAAAAGAAAGGGTGAAATTCAAAACCTCTGCCAGTTCTTCTGTGGGACCCCAGGGTGGGGCCCTGAATAAGTGCCTCTTTTCTTGTCATAGAGTATCTGTGAGTTTTGGGACCAAAGCAAGCATTCTGGGAACACAGTGGATCAAGGAGATGTGAAGAGAATTTGAGGACCAGCAACATAGTGGGAGACTGGAATCTGCACAGAAACAAGACCAGTGAGAAATCCTCAGGTGTCTTTTGGTATGAGGGGTTATTAGAATGTCCAATATGCAGTTCTAAGCTGTTTGGGTTTCTGCCACTCAAAAGCCTTCCGTTGGGGCTGAGGTAGTGACTCAGCGGTGGAGCACTCACCAGGCACATGCAAGACCTTGGATTCAATCCTCAGCACCTCATAAAAATAAATAAATAAAATAGAGGTATTGTGTCCAACTCAACTAAAAAATAAATATTGAAAAAAAAAAGCCCTCTGTTGCTCAAAACTTCAGTTGCATCTATTGCACAAAAATGTTTGGGGTGGTTTTGAGAAAAATCAAGATGAAGAGGTGACTTTGATCTCAGTTTGGCATACAGAAGAGGAAAAAAAAAGAGGCACAGAACTTGAAATGTGAATGAGCACAGGTGTCATGGAAGCAGGAACAATGAGCCATAATTGATCATGAGAATGAGGGATCCAAAACACTGACAGAAATCATGGGGAGATCAATGGAACTACCCTGAAAAATATGGGATTTGGGACTTGAGCCACTTTTACATCAATCTTCAAAGAAGAATAACTTCAACTGACATACGATATAATAATAAAATTTCAAAATACACCATGAGCTGTATTGCAAACAGTATTTATAATATAAAGTCTAAGGCAGCATTTGTAAAACTGTACACAGATTTTTATATAACATGAAAGTGGCATGGGTATTTAGATATTTAATAAATAAATGACATTTTTTTACTGAAATTAGCATTTTACCAAATGGAGGATACCAGTTTGTCAATAACCTTCCTAAATAGGTTTAGAATTTCCACCTAATTCTCCTTTCATAATAACAAATTAATTCTCAGAATGGCTTAATTTATAAAATATATATGCATCATCCATAAATGAAAAAGGTTCTCTGAGAGAATGATCTGGAACTTATATAGGGGGATACTAATAGAGTATTTCAAGTCCTTTAACATCTGGCCTTACCTTTACATGGTGGATCAGACGTTCAACTTCATTTACTTTGTAGGTCTCCAATCCCAGCTCCTTGGCTAATCTTAAGATACGATTCTGGGTTGGCCCAACATAGGATCCTCCAAGGTCCACATATTTAACCTTTTGGTTCTGTTACCCATGGAAAAAAAATATTTGTGAAAATACCCCTAAACTTAAAAAGTCCCCAAATAAACAAAATGGCATTTCACAGGTTATATAGACATTTTGAGGTATCATAGAAAACTGGATTCTGTTCACAACTCCACTGTATTTCATTCATATGGCTTAATATTTACTAAATCAATCTTCTTTTTTTCTTTTTGGTACTAGTGATTGAACCCAGGGGTGCTTAATCACCAAGCCAAATCCCCAGCCATTTTATAATATTTCATTAGAGATAGGGTCTCACTGAGTTGCTTAAGGCCTCGCTGAGTTGCTGAGGCTAGGTTTGAACTCATGATCCTGCCACAGCCTCCTGAGTCACTGGGATTACAGGCATGTGTCTCCATGCCCCACTTAAATCAATCTTTAATTTAAAGAAAACTTGCTTTAATATTGAATAGGCAAGATATTTCTGAACACCATTATTCACAACAGTTGTTGATTAAAATAATATAAATTTTAAAATAAATACATAAATAATAGATGAGACCAAAATAAAAGTTTAACTTGTGTGATTGAAATAATTATGTTGGTTCTAGAGAAGCCTCACAGTCAGAGGTGGAGAGTACGGACTTGTAATATTCTTCTTTTTACTTCAAACACAGACATATGCATACCCTCCCTAGTTCCCTGTGCCCCAGTCCTAACTCTATGATGTAATATATCATGAAGTGAGAGGACTAAAAGGGGAGAAGAAAGAATTGAAAGGGACGCAAGTTAACAGAGAGGCTGAGGCTGGGAATGTAGCACAGTGTTTGAGCATGTGTTAAGCATGTGCAAGGTCCTGGGTTCCATTCATAGCACCAAAAGAGAGAAACAAAAGACAGTAAGCGAGATTGTGCCAATTTTTCCTGAGTATTAACTTCTCTTTAAGAATCAAATGGAATTAAAGGCTTTCAGGAAAAACAAAAACCAAAAAAAACAAAAACAAAAAACAGTCTCACCCCATCATTAGTGTCTTACCCTAAGGGTGTAAGTCCTGCCTCCCACGCGGTCCCGGGCTTCTAGAACCACCACATTTAGGCCAGAGTCATGCAGAAGTTTGGCTGCTGCCATACCTGGGGGAAAGTACAATAAGACATTAGGATTAAATACCTTACAAGGACTCCAGACAAGCTCCTTATGCTAATGGCCCATGAAAAACATTCATGTTGGTTCACACACATGGCCGACCACTACCTTCAACCTCCAGTTTGATAGGTTTTCTCAATATAGGCCCAGAGTCTAAGTCTGGGAAACCAACTGATATTTCTAGAAAGAATAAAAGGGATTTCATTTTTGAATCTCAAAACTGAAAAACATCCTCAGTCACTATATCAAAATGTCTACTTTAATAACTAAATTACAGATGTGACAATGTAAATGAAAACAAGCAAGGCCACACTCAAGAGAGAATCATACACCCTACAGCAGATACAAGTCCAAGGCTGGACACTGACTTCATTCTTAGAGTACATCTGAAAAATCAATCAACTGGGGCAAAGTTGGCTTTCAAATGATATGTGAAGTCCTGGAATTTACTGTTAAATCAGACTTTTGAAGTTGACATAAAGTTTCAAAACCAAAAAGTCACCCCTTCTAGGCTGGGGTTGTGGCTCAGTAGTAGAGCACTTGCCTAGTATTTGTGAGGCCCTGGGTTTGATCCTCAGCACCACATAAAAAGATAAATGAATAAAAATATAGGTATTGTGACCATCTATAACAAATATATACACATAATTTTCTCCTTCTACATCCTAATTCCAAAATGTGTTCCATCACTAAAGAATGACTACATTTATATACACATTTAGCTTTTCATTCTCACCACCATGGACCTAGCTGTTAAAAATTCACAGTTTTAGCCAGGCATGGTAGCACACACCTGTAATGCCAGCAGCTTAGGAGGCTGAGGCAGGAGAATCACAAGTTTGAGGCCAGCCTCAGCAATTTAATGAGGCTCTAACCAATTTAGCAAGACCCTGTCACAAAATTAAAAAAAAAATTTAAAAGGGTTGGGGATGTAGCTCAGTGGTTAAGCACCCATGGGTTCAAACTTTGGTATCAGAAAATAAAAATCACAATTTTATTGAGATAAATGTAAATTTCACCTATTTTAGCATAGAGCTCAGTGAATTTTCATGAAGCACAAAGCATAGTGTGTGTGTGTGTGTGTGTGTGTGTGTGTGTATTCATTCACATGGCTTAATATTTACTGAAATTAAACATTATATATATATTATCTTTGGTAATAATACATCTGAGATATAGTTTCTTTGTTATTAGAACTCTAAACATCTTGCATCTTTGAAACTGCTGTTAGGCTTAGATTGTAACTCATTGGTAGGGCACTTGATGGCATATGGGAGGCCATAGGTTCCATCCCTAGCATGACAAGGCATAAAAAATAAATTACAACTATGATAAAACTACTCTTAACAGATAGTAGCAAGAGTTTCTTCCAACAACAGAGCTCTAGTGCTCTTCTGATAAATTTAATTTATTCAATTCCAATTACCTTCCTCATTTGCTTCATGGGACCAAAAGAAATCAAGGAAAGGCCAAGAACTGTTGTGCTTTATAGATAAATAAAACAGTTTCAGAGTTGTTTCACAGTACTAAGAATTCTGTGACTTTTAGATTTCACTGGTGAAAAAAAAAAAGATTTCTATTAAAAAATAGCTAATACTTGTATAATGCTCACTACACTTAAACCACTATTCTAAATGTTTTAGTATGTCAATTCAGGCTGGGGGTATAGCTCAGTGGTAGAGCACTCACCTAGTATACATGTGGCCCTGGGTTTCATCCCCAGGATCCCCCATCCAAATTAAAAAAAAAAATTGTACCAGGGATTCAACTCTGTGGCACTCGACCACTAAGCCACACCCCCAGTCCTATTTTGTATTTTTTTTTTATTTAGAGACAGGGTTTCATTGAGTTGCTTAGCACCTTGCCATTGCTGAGGCTGGCTTTGAACTTGCAATCCTCCTATCTCAGCCTCCAGAGCCGCTGGGATTATAGGTGTGCACCACCATGCCTGGCCCAAATTTTAAAATATATTAATTCAACAAATTATTGTAACCATCCAGTGAGATAAAGTACTATGAACAGTCCCATTTTATGACAGAGGAAACGGAAGCAAAATTAAGTGTCCAAGGCCACATAATAGAATAGGTGGCAAAGCCAGCTCCGATACAGCATCTGAGTTTGTAATCACTACACTGCCCCACCTCGGCTATCCTCATCGGTTGATTATATCTCTCAATATTTGCTACTGGGAGAAATTACATTTCAAAAGGTATTTTCACTTTATTTGAATCAATGAGCTTTGAAGATATACTTGAATCATGTGGGTCGGTAAGAATCCCTAGAACATAAAATATGAGCCCATGTGTAAAACTGTATTGAACCAAGGCTTCAGTCACCATCTCTTGGTGATCTTAAGAGAAGAAACCCATTTTTCAGAGAGGGTAATTTGACATTTCATTATTTGAATTAATGCCTCTTTCCATTGCTACCCCTGGGGGCAGGGCTCAGGCTTCTAGTTGGGGGCTCGATAATGGGTCCCAAAGTCCTAGCCCACATGCAATATACACAAACACACAAGCATTGCTCAACCTAGATTTAGAAATAGAGGGCTTGGACTTTTAACTCCTGTTTCCTAATTTTACCTCCATAAGAGGGGGAAAAATACCTCTTCTTTTTAAATTCAGGATTGCAGACAATTCAATGACATTTCTCTTATCAAGCATCAGTTCAACAAATGAAATAACATGCAACCATAGTAACAGCTGTTATCAGTGAATTCAGATAAATGGCAGGAGCATGCTGAGGCTTAAACAAAAGGGTTGAGAAACAAATACAACATTGGGCATATACACTAGCATATTAGATTCCACAAAAGGTACTGTTTTTGAATAAATGCAATTACCCAATAACATCTGGTGCGAAATGTAAACAGTTATTAGAACAAACAAGAGGCTTATCAAACCACTGAACAGAGTTCTCTCTGCTCATGTGCCTTAAAATATTCTCAATACAAAATTTCAAAAATATATTTAAATAGGCAACACGAAAGTATTTTGTCAAAAATAACTTGTCATTTCTCTCACTAATATTTCTGGGGGGTTAGTTAAAATGCTTGTTGGTATGAATTAAAATAATAAACATAATGACAATAGAAAGGAGATCCATAGGGAATATAGAACAAGGGGGTCTGGGGAGGGTGGAAGGGAAGGAAAAGGAAAGTCCTGGGGACTTTTAATCAAATTACATCATGTGCATGTATAAATATGGCATAACAAACCTCACATTTAAGTTTAATTATAATGCACCCATAAAAAATGCTGGTTGGGCACTTACTGTTAAAGATTGATTTGAAAAATAATTGACTGGCTTAAGGAAGTCCCTCCATTTTAGGAGGAAGGATTTTTTTTTAGATACAGAAGAAATTGGACAGTTTGGGAGTCTGGCCAGAAGGCAGTTTGGATTGCCAAAAAGACATAACTGTCCAGAGAACCCTCAGTGATGACTGATAAAAAGATTGAGGGTTTGACTGCTCAAAGAATAAGCAGACAACTTTCAAAAGGGTTATTTTTTCCCCAAGCATTCTTTTCTATGTTGGTTGTTTGGAACTTTTAACACATTTTGCCATAGAAACAAAAATATGAGGGATGGTACATTCTCTGAGAAGTCTGGGAATTTTCAAGGGCAATAAATAGCACTGCCAAAAAATTTCATAAAGTAGTAGAGACATAGCTGCCCTACAAATACTAGACAATGTAATTTGCACAGTTTAAACACAATAGTTTAACCATATAATGTAATAAATGTTGTTTTTTTTAATACCCACAATATTAACAGCTACCACCATAAAGCATGAAGCATTTACTTGGTTCTGTGTGCAATAATTTACACCCAAAACTCACTTGATCCTCACCATGAGGACAAGAAGTAAGTATTTTTAATCCTCATTTTAAGAAGAAGAGAATGGTGATTTGCCATAGGTTATGAAATTACTAAATGGCAGAGTCAAAGTTCAACTCCAAACCTGAATTCTTGGCCACTATCTTTGGACCAAAAATGGAAAAATTAAAATTACAATAAATCTGTACACTCATCCTGACAAAGAGTCTTAAAACATTGTGCTCTGTATCTAAATATAAGAATCTTAAAATATCAGACTTTCTCTTAAATACATTTTTAACTTTTGCAAACAATTTATGAGCAAGTTTATAGTCAATTTGTGCTTCTGAAAAGCCAATGAAACTCAAATTTAATATGCAGGATCCATTAATATTTCATAAACAAATAATCATTCAGCACTTCCAGAAGCTGTCCCTATGTGCCCCTGACAGGCTGTTGCATAAATAATCCTACATAAATCATACATAAATAATAATAGAGTAATACCTAATGCCATGAAATTATACAAATATTGCATCTCCTTGAGTAGTTTATTTTGAAAGAGTTCTGTCTAAGCAATGAGTACAACAATTATGATTAGACATCCAAATTATTTTGAAGACCCAGAAATCAGTGATTCATAAGATTATTAGCATTTTGTGTTTCCAGTTATGTGCCACTGAAAGTAATCCAAGTTAGATCCTGAGGAGACTAGCAAATATACAGTGGAGGAGACAATGGAAGGGGCCCATTCAAAGTGTCTTCAGAGCAGTGGAGAAGTTAGGATGAGGAGAGAAAATAAAATCAAAACCAACCCCTGCCTCATTTTTTGCATGGTCAATCTGTTTCTCATGCTTTTCATATCAAAATGTGATATTTAACAAAAAAATTATAAACACTTTAAAATGCAAAGTTAATTGCCTTGAAAATATTATGAAATAGCAGTACTTTGATACCATGTAAGGACCTTTTCCCAGTTTAAAGTTACCAAAAGGAGGGAAGAACCATTGTATCTGAAAGGGACAATGAAATTCACTGTATCCCCAAAGAATCCCTAATCCTGTAACTTTGAAAAACTATACAGGCATTCTCTCAGGACCTATAAAAGTGGAGAATATGCAAATAGCACCCATCATCTCTGTCACTTCTGACAAAGCAATGGTTTTCTGA